TCTCTGGCCATTGTTAAAACCAATAATGAGCCTAAAAAGTCAGAGAAATAACAGACAAAATAAGACTTATGACCTCCATCCCTGCAAGGAGAATGAGATGAAAGTGAGCATTTCTGTGCAGATGCTGCTTTACTTGACTGACCCCTGGAAGAAGCAGAGCAGGAGCCAGCTTGCCCGGAGTACTGGGAGTTCGAGTCTGGATCTCGACCCCGTCTGAGACGGCCAGAGGACTGAGACCACGAGAGATCTGGGGGTGCAGTTTCTCTCCTCTCCAGTTACTTCACCGCCTGTGTCTCTATTCATTATTCTCACAGGCAGAGACTGGTTTTCCTTTTTCTTCCTACTTAATTCCTCAATGCTTTCTTCTTCATGTATGTTCAGTTCTTCCTTCTTTTCTCCCTTAGCCTTCCACATCCCAGTGTAGGAGCGTATTTGCTGTGTGTCTCCGTGAAGGGCCCACGGCTGGTCGACTGTCCGATGGTGGGGCCTTCTTCTCTGATGTTACTCTGGAGCTGTGCCTCTTACCCATTTCTCTCTCTCTCCATGGAGGCAGACAGCAAAGTTGGGATTTCTTTCAGTATTGAGGAATCTTGATTTCCATGGAGTTTTAAAATTGTACAAATGATTTTATGATGATGGAAAGATATATTTCTTTGACTGTTTAAGGTAGTTCAGTTCAGTCATTCAGTCATGTCTGGCTCTTTGCGGTCATCACATGGGGAGGCTAAAACATGGCTTAACATGTGCCCAAGCCATCTAAGATTATCAGCACACATTGGCAGCTTTTCAGCAGCACAAAGAATGTAAATGGAAGAAAAGCTCTTTCTGATGGGCAGTAAAATACAGTAAATTAGGCAAGCGGCTCTGGTCCCATTGCAGTCAGTCTGATTTTCCTGTGACGGATTAAAACTCAGGAGTCACTGTGACTGGGCCAAACGCCCGTGGGCCTCCCAGATCCCTTGCACCTAACTGTCTTCAGACCAGGCAGGGCTGTACGGCGTGCTGGCTGCTGACATACGCAGGCCAGCCCGGACACACATTTCAAGCTTCTGACTCCTCCAGCCACTTCTAAATTTGAATGAGATATGACACCTGATGAAAAGCAATATGGCATCGCAAGTGACTGTCCGAGACTACATATGGAACCCAGGGGTATACAAATTCAACACCTTGGGGCCAAAACTGGCCAGTGGGAAAGAGGAGGAAGTTCCTGGGCAGGTAAATCCCCTCTCTCCCCGCCGTCCCCTGAACTGGAAGGCGTGGCGATCGCGTGGGTCCTCCGGGGAGGGACTGTGTGCCAGCTGGGTGCGGCTGCCCCTGACTGCCTTGGCTGCTAGTCCAGGTTTTGCCACGCAGTTTACTCTCTGTGGATTGATGACTTTAAAAACCCCAGTGTTCTCTAGTTTCTTCTTTCTAAGATTCTTCCTGGCCTCCACTTGAGTCATGACCTGCGTTCAGTCTGGGCTTCAGCATTCAGGCGAACAGGGAGGAGACGGCATTCACATTTTTCTTTCATTTCAATTATTATTGCAATTCTGTTTTTTTTTCTAGTTTCTGCTTTCAGATGTGTAATGTTAAGGTTTCTGGAGTAGCGGTTCTCATACTTGTGGGCTATAGGAGCCCTGTCTACTCTCTAACTCACTGAGAATCCCAAATAGCTACACATTTACTGACTCAACGGTAAAGAATCCACCTGCAGTGCAGAAGACTCAGGAGATGCGGGTTCGATCCCTGGGTCAGGAAGACCCCCTGGAGGAGGAAATGACAACCCACTCCAGTACTCTTGCCTGGAAAATCCCATGGCCGGAGGAGCCTGCTGGGCTACAGTCCAGGGGGCCACAGAAGAGCCAGACACGACAGCACAGCACACACATACACGTTTACTGTATTAGAGACTGAAGAGTCTCTGTAGTGAGAGATTCAAGAATTTTGAGTATTAATTAACTAAAGCTATAGTAGTAATAAATCCAGTTCTAGTATATTTGAACATAAATAATATTTACAGTGAAAAATAAGTTTATTTTCCAAAAGATAAAAATACTTAGAAGAGTGTCATTATTTTGTAAATCTCTTTATTATCTGGCTCAATAGAAGACAGTTTAATTCTCAACTGCTTCTGCATTCAATTTGTTTTGTTTCAAGTATAGAAAAAAAAAAAAAATCTAGCCTCACCCAGATGCGTAGTTGGAAAAGGGTAAGTCTTTTATATACCCTGAAAAGAGTCTTAGGGACCCAGAAGGGTCCTCCAGTCACACTTTGAGAGCTACTAATCTTAAGTATAGTGGGAAAATAATTACCCTTTGCAAAATTAACTTTAAAGAAAATTAATTCTAAATTAAAAACAAACAACCACATTAGAAGTGTTATTCCAAATAATCTAATCTGTTATGAACATTTCCAGAGTTTAGATAATTTTCAAAGAACTAATTTTTGAAGGCATCCCTATATTTAATGTATTGATATAACATGATAAAACCACCACAGTATTGTAAAGTAATTAGTCTCCATTTAAAATAAATTAATTAAAATAAATAGATTTGCTTAAAATTCATATTGGTAATAAAAGATTTTACTATAATGTGAAAAGAGTTAAAGGATATCTCTGATACTTATTTTAAATGGATCAAAATTATGAAAACAAGGAAGAAAACCTTGTATTACATGAACATTAAATGTGTAATAAGAAACATAGGTTTGACTGTTAACAAATCTTAGATACACTCATTCTGAAATTTTTTTAAACATCACACAATAATGAAAAAAAAATATATATATATATATATTTGTATTAGTGAGGAAATTCAAGTTGTCCTATGGAGAAGATTGTGATTAAAAAAAATCCATATTCACTGGATGAATCCTTCTTACATGAGACATCTAAGATAGTCAGACTCATAGAAGTAGAGAGCAGGCTTGTGCTTCCTGAAGGATGGGTGAGGAGGGGATGGAGAGCTGTTGTTCAGTGGGTATCAAGTTATACAAGGTCAGTAAGGTCCAGAGAGCTACTGGACAACACATTGCCTATAGTTAACAGTAAGATATTGTTTGCTTAAAAATTTGTTAAGAGGGTAGATTTCACATTAAGTGTTCTTAACCCCCCACCCCCCACACACACACAACAAAGGGACACGGGAAACTTTTGGAGGTGATGGATATATTTATTACCTTGATTATGGTGATGGGAACTTGTGTCCAGACTCACCACATTGTATACATTGATTATGTGTGGGTTTTTATATATCATTTATGCCTTAGCAAAGATAGAAAAAGTGTTACATTTTTAAAATAATTAAAAAATTATTATGTATATGGAGATTTTCCTCAATAGCATCTGCAGAGCTGAAATGGAGTGTGAGCCAAGAGCTCTTCGGAAGAAATCTGTCAGTGTCTGCCTGCTTTAGCAATGCCTCTCTCTGTCAGAGAGCTCCCATCTGATGCAAGTAGAATGTCTTTTGTTCAATAGCAAATTTTCATGAAATGCGTGATTTTTTTCACTTGGTTTGTGAACTCGTATAGCATTTTCCTCTAACACCACATCGCCCCCAAACCGTGCTGTCTACACGCCATGGGTCAGGCTCCCGGATGTCACTGAGTGGCCACCAGCAGCCCACACATCACACTAGCATCGCCCGTGCACACTCGAGCAAGTCTTTCTTCACTTTATTTTAACAATAGTGTGACTTTTAATGGCTAATAACTTCAGAGCCTTTTAGAGTTAGCCCACTGTTTGAGTGATAGCAATGTTTTGACTCATAGAAAAATGATCCTCCACTGAACAACGAAATTTTTAAAACAAAACTTGTTTACAGCTTATGTTCTTCTTCTTATGGCATTTTATAGAGGAGTTTTATGCCCAAAATTAGATTATAATCTTCCTCTGAAAAAATCAGTTTTATTTGTTTTTTCATATGCCTGGCATTGTTTAATATGAGCCTGAGCACATACAAAACTGTATTAAACCCTTACTATGTGGTATGCATTTATTACATATACATTCACGAGAGATCCTTGGCTCCCCTGGTTCCAAGGAACATGTTTTCTTTTTGTCAAATGGCTCAGATTTGTAAGCTTTCCTCTGCTGAGATATTTGGAGAATGTGATGAAAGCTGTATGCCCTCTTCCATCCCAGAAAACATAGGTCTGAGGAACTGCTTTATCCAGATCTGTACTGCAGGCTTCCATGTCAACTAGAATCACTATTTCCTTAGACCCCTTTACTTGGCTTCAGCTTACATCACTGGTGGCATCAGGCAGCTCCAGACAGTGTCAGTGGAAGAGGGGATTTGGTAGCTCACGCAGTAGGAAAGCTCAGGGGGCAGCCTCGCTGTGAGGGGCTGAACCCAGTGGGTCACAGCCAGCGGTGCTCATTCCTCTCTGGCAGCGTCGGCTCCGCTGTCAGGGACGTGGTCTCCAAACGGCATCAGTGACAGTCCCTGGTGGTGGCCGACTCCATCCTCTTTTTCTCTTCCAGTTTCAGAGGAAAAGAGGATGCTTTGTTGATTATTTGAGTAAAATGTTGGGGGAGGCCTGCTTCTGATGACTTGGATCTGTTGATTCTCTGACTCAGTCACTTCGGCTGGAGCGCAAGTCCTCTGACTGGTCAGGCGGGTGATCCGCTCACTTCTGTGGGAAACAAGCAAGTAAAGTGGCTGACAGCTCCAGTGCGTTTAAATAAAAGAAAGGCAGAGAAGGAGGAGGAGTAGGTTGAGACGAACTTGTGCCTGAGTGTGACAGGGATGCCTTGACAGCGGAGGAGCCACGTAAAGGGTCTGACGGCTGTGACCCGTGTTTGCAGCTAGTCCCCTTCGTGGCTGAAGCCGAGGGGAAGGACATGCAGCTGGGCAGGAAGGGAGGGCGGTAACGTAAGAAAAAACCTTAGAAATCCACCTGTGCCATTGACCTGATCCATCCAGTGGTTATTGCTGTTTCTGACTCTCTGCTACAATGAAGACATTTCTAAGGTGGGAGTATCCTTCAGTTTCTCTCATTTTGCCTTTTAGGTGGACAAAAAAATCGTAAGAACTGAGATAGGAGTTCTTCTTCGCCTCTCACATCCAAACATTGTAAGTGGTTTTTAGCCTACTATTTCAAATAATCTGCCAAGTTGCAGAATGAGACTTTTGTTCTTTACTGTCCATTCTGATGATAAGAAGGAGATTCTTTCACTGCCAGTAAGTAGCCACCTTGGCCTAATTCTTGTCCTTATCTGATCTTGTTTTTCAGTTCTTTAACTGAATAAATCTTAAGAATAATACCCCTTGAAAGAGTTTCAAAATGGGCACACCCGCAATATATACCATTGTTATTTTCATGCATGAAGATAACTAAAATTGGAGAGCTATTTTTCACTCTAATAAAACACAGGCTTTTTCCTTTTGTGTGCCTATCTTATTAATATGCCATTGCTGAAAATGCCTGTGAAGAAAATGCATTGCTTTCCAAAGTCATTTGAGTCTCCTGTGAGAGAGTATTTGCTTCAGAAACAATGCAAAGATTCAAATAAATAATGTGCTTGACTGGAGAAAATAAAATGTGCTCGGAAGCTCTGCTCTTGGCTATGTCCAGATAAAGGCACTGAGGGAGAGGGCTGGGGGAAGCTTACTTGAGCCAATGAAGTGAAAAGAACAAAACCATTTTCCAGGCCACAACTTATTTTTATAAAGTGAGACAGTTACTTAAAATATTTTACTCATTTCACTGAGAAATTTGTGGTGTCTCAGAGGATGACCAGCATGCTTCGGCTCAAGGCCAAGTGCTTACAAGTTGTTTATTAGTATGCAATTCAGTTGTAAATATCAGAAAACTTGAATATGGTGGTCTAGACAAATATTTTTCTTATAAGAAATCAGAAGGTAGGCAGTTGTTAGCAATAGTTCAGCTCCTCAGTGATGTCATCCAAGACTCATCCATTGGTTCTCCCATCTTTTGTCCTTTTCGAGCCCCCTGCATTGGAAGCATGGAGTCTCAACCACTGTGCTGTGTGTCCTTAGTCACTCAGTCGTGTCTGACTCTTTGTGAGCCCATGGACTGTAGCCCACCAGGCTCCTCTGTCCATGGGGATTCTCCAGGCAAGAGTACTGGAGTGGGTTGTCATGCCCTCCTCTAGGGGATCTTTCCAACCCAGGGATCGAACCCAGGTCTTCCTCACTGCAGGTGGATTCTTACCAACTGAACCACCAGGGAACCCCAAGAATACTGGAGTGGGTAGCCTGTCTTCTCCAGAGCATCTTCCCGACCCAGGAATCAAACCGGGGTCTCCTGCCTTGCAGATGGGTTCTTCCCCCGCCGAGCCGCCAGGGAGGCCCCTCAGTCACTGTGCCACTAGGGGGCTCCAGCTCTCCCGTCTTCAGGGCGCGGCCTTCGCCTCCGCGCTTCTCCCTCGTGGCCCTGGGACGGCTGGTCTACAGGCTAAGCAAGTCTCCACGTCTGTGTCCAGACAGAAGGGAGCGGAAAGGTTGAACCAGCAGAGTCTGATAAAAAGAGTAAACGCTTTTCCAGAATTTCCAGTTGCAGAATTCTCTTCAGATTTTACTGCACAGCTGGTCACACAATCACCCTAAACTGCATGCAGACTGGAAAATTAAGGACCTGGGTTGTCATAAATGGCTGACTAACCATAATCCATAATTTGAGACTAGGCACCTTGCTTCCCTAAACAAGAGTTCTCTTTGCAGTAGAGTAGGGAGAGCAGGGCTTTGGGTAAGCAATTAGCAAAATTTGCCGTATACAGTCATCATTTTTACATTACCTTATTTCTTTCAAAATGAAGTCAATATGAAATTTCCCTTAAATATATATATCAGTCCCGGTCACTTGATTCTCAGAAGAAAATATCCAAAATTGGATGGATTATCTGAATATCATGAAAACCCTGTTATGATCAGTCAAATCACTATATCTGTTACTTTTCTGAGTATTCTTTTATCTACTAGCAACTCTTTATCTGTTAAGGGATTCCCTTTCTATGCTGATAGAATTTAACCTGGTCTGTTCTGCCTCAGACCCCTAATTGAAGTCCTGTTCTGAGAGAAAGAAACATTTGCATCTCTACCAATCATGATGGTTTCACATGGTTTAGGAGGTTTTGTTTGCTTCTGGTTTGGTTTTTTAAAATTCAGTTGAAATTCAAACATTTGGATGATTTGGCAAAATTTAGGAAGTGCTTCTAGGGCAGATATCTTTAGCTGTCAAAAGGAAAAATATAAAAGTTCAAAAGGATCTTTGAACAAATGAGGTGACTGATAAAGAAACAACTGGAGAGTGACAAATGCCTGCCTGCTACTGGAATAAGGAACCTTTATCAACCATAGTCCAACGTGTCGCTATCGCAGACAGTGCGTTGTAACCATAGTTTTAATGATTTCCTAAAGATGACAATAAAGAATTTGTGATTTTTTTAATATCTTTTCCCAGATAAAACTTAAAGAGATATTTGAAACCCCTACAGAAATCAGTCTGGTCTTAGAACTCGTCACAGGAGGAGAGCTGTTTGACAGGTGAGTGGGTCCTAGAAATGTAACTACAGTACAGTTTTGCATCCAATCACCAAAAATAACTGGAGGGAAATTTCTCCTGAAATTCTTCATTATGACATGTTATACCAGTTGATAACTTCTACTAGGATAATTCTTAAATATTTGATAAGATGTGTGTAAATGAAAATTTGGGATGCTTAGTGAATGAAAAAAACATTCTATTTACTTTTGCAAAGATCTACTTTCTAGATACAAAACAGTTTAAAAAGTCTTACTAAATCTAAGCTCAACAGTAAGATTTAAGAGAATATTTTGTGAGAAAGTATTTGATGAAAATTATAGATAGTTAGGCGTGTATTAATAGTATTCTTTGTTATGATTCAAAGCTCGTGAAAATCGATTCTCTCCAAATGACTGTTTCTAGGCCCACTTTCTTTTATAGGCTCTTTAAAGAGTTCCAAGTTGCAGAGAAAAATATGTTCTATTATATCCAATTATAGCCAATTTTAGTTGTCTGTTCATACATTCATCACTCAAGGCAGAGGTTTGAGGGTGGCAGGGAGTATGTCTAGAAGTCTGGTAGAGCATAATACAGACACGTTATTTGTGCAAGTTTTAAGTTTGTGCATGCTTTAAGTTTCCATAGCTCTCCCACCCTCCTCATCTCAGAATTCCCTGTTTGCCCTGATGTGATCTTGGAACCTCTTTGCTGTGCTGATCAGGGTAATTAAACAAAAATGAATCTGGAAGAAGACAAAGAAACTGAGTAGGCTTATATTAGAAATGTTAAGAAACTGCAGTTTCTGTGATGTAAACATCTTATTGGTTGAAGAATGGGTGAAGAGATAAGTGGACGAAGGCAGAAGAGAGGGTAAGGACCACTGATGTAGCCTGAACGCCTGGAGCGCAGTAAATTCTCAGTAAATAGTCGCTGCATGGATGAGTAGTGAACAGCTGCTGCAGTGAGTAGCCTCTGAGAATATGTCTGAGGGAAGCAGGTTTAGAATGTGCTGGAGAAAGGCATGCCCCCCATTCCCCCCTCCCCAGCTCCACCCGGTTAAATTTGCTGCCTCTTCAAGAGCTTGCAGAAGTCTTCAAACTTTGCACTGTTGTTGTTTAGTCACTAAGTCCTGTCCAACTCTTTGTGACCCCATGGACTGTAGCCCACTAGGCTACTCTGTCCTTGGGATTCTCCGGGCAAGAATACTGGAGTGGTTTTCCATTTCCTTCTCCAGGGATCTTCCTGATGCAGGGATCGAACCATGTCTCCTGCATTGGCAGGCAGGTTCTTTACCACTGAACCACCTGGGAAGCTCCATTTTCAAAGGTCTGTTTGCTTTTAATGTTACACAGTGCAGATTTTGACCTTCAGATTGGAAGGAGCAAAATGGCCTTGATTGGAGCCACATATATATCTTCAACAGATACATAGTTTTGTTCAGATGCATATTAAAGTTTCCTTAGAACAGGTTATGTGAATAACCAGATTTTTAAAATTATAGCATTTAGACTGTGTTCATTCTTTACAGATAAATGAATCACCTGAGATACATAAGCATAGGTAGCCTCCACATACACTTCTTGTGGGATTTGGTTTATAATCATTTGGACTCATTCATGTTGTAAATCCTGACTCAGAGTGGTTTGCTTAACTTCTCTGAACCTCAGAACAAATCTGAAGCTTTTGTGTGATGCTAAGGAAGCTGGATGCTAAGACAGCTTTGTCTTAAAACCATCGTGTTCCCTTGTGCTTAGTCAAGACTCTTCTGGACTAGTTCATTTGAATGTTGCCTAAATTTGTCCATAGTTGTCCTTTTTCAGTGCTTCGTTAGCTCACTCTTTCATGGACATATTCCTTCTTCAGGTACATTAATAGAGTCAAATTACAGTTAGATCCTGCTGGCTCTGGAGCCGTGAGGGCTCCCTAAGGAAGACTGACATATTTCCTGGCTAATTGTGGTCTACCAGAGAGAAACCTCCTGTTCTTTGTAAATAATTCCAGGACAGGAATTTTCACAATTAAGTAAATAATATTTGCTATGTACCTTCTTACCTCTGTTTGTTTCAGTCATTTTGGAAATAGGGATCTCTCTTCCCCTTCTCCCCAGCCTTTCTGGGTCTCTTATCTTGTAGTCTAGTTGATTTTGATGGAATAGAATTAATTCAGCTATAGATAAGAATGAAAAACTAAGTGTCAATAAATTTCGTTTATAATGATAAATGAATGAAATATTCAGATTTAGCAGAGGACATCTAAAGAATGGCAGACAGCCAGTAAAGCACTCAACCAACTACTCTATAAACTCTTAGTGGTCTCAGATGATAGACTTTCCCCACCCCCCACCGAAAGTTGTCCACATGTCTGTTGCTGTATCTGAGATGAATGTGGTTTCTCCATTGAATTACTTAATCCTACAGTTATCTTTAAATTTGGGTCAAACTGAAAATATATCCTGCATTATTATCCACTTATTGCTTTCTTTCTTGAGAGATCAAAATCATACTATGGTCTCTTTTTCCTGTACTTAGGTCAAAATCCAAATTTATTTAATTGTAATAACATACATTCATTCCTGGTCTAAGGATGACTCTAATAATATCTAATGAATGAACTAATGGAGCAACTGATGAAGAGATAATTATATTAGCCCATTGTAGTCAAATGGTATATGATTGTATTTTATTAGCAAAAGATCTATGTTGCTGTTAAAAACCTAAACCGATAAGTACAAGTGAAATCTGCTGTTTCATGTAGCATATGAATAGTAAATTGCATGGGACAATGGATTACAGGTTTTGGAATAAAATCAGTGATATTTTGTGCTCAAGGAAATTCCCCCCAAAAATCTGCACAAAATTACAATATCATGAAATAAAGAAATCTCCAGAACATTTTCTTTTCCATCTTTCTCAGTCTAGTTACAATTCTCATAAATTTATTGAACTTTTCAAGTGGATAAGGTATGAGATTACTTAAGAGTAAATTTCCACTTTTTTCCCCAGAAAATGATTGTATTATAAGGCAACTAATTCAGCAGTATCCTTCTGGTCTTCTAATTAAAATTTTTAAATTTTTTTTGTTTTCTTTTCCTGATTTTTGTTTAACTCTAGTATCAGAATATCTTGTGAATTTTTAAATTTGTCTTTTTTCTGCTTTCTCCTTGTGTTTTTGCTTGCCAGGCTATGCTTGTTCACATGCCAAACATTATGTATAAAAGGTTTTAGAATTTGAGGCTTTAAATGCTGTTGCCTCAAAAAAGCAAATTTTATTTTGCTTCAGTAGGCAGTTAAGGTAAAGAACAGATCACTTTAATCTAATCAGGCATTGGACTGATTCAAAGCTGGGTTTCCTGAAAGCAAATCTATTTCTTGTCAACTCTTACTCATAGGTTTTGCCCTTTAAGGGTCCCAGTTGAAGCCAGGGGATTTTTGCCAAGGATCCCCTTCCTTGGCAGATCCTAAATGCCAGCTTCTGTTCCCTCTACTGTGTAAGGTGGCCTGTCAGCTGCTGATTTTTAATTCCTTTAAAGAAAAAGCATAAGCATCAGATATCAGGTTGCTTTTCTGTGTTTTTCTTCTCTTCTAGAGCTTGGCTCCTAAAGCCTTCACTTCCTTGGTAGCTCTGGTGTCTTCAAGTACACTTTATATTTTGTTTAGCTTGTTTTCATTGTTCTTAGCTGTAGGCTTGTCCACCGCACCACTACTGAGAGCAAAAATTCAGTACATATAGTTTGAAAAGTCCTTTCACAGCCAACAGTGTGTCTTCCTCTTTCATGCCCACCCTTTGGGACAAGCAGGATGAAAGCACTGTCCCACTCCATAGATGTGGAACCTGAGGATGGCAGATGATCTTCCCCAGATAGGCAGTCGGTCTGTCTTCTGGTCCAGCCCTTCGTCCCCATGTGGCCTCTTTGTCTTTCTTTTTAAACCCAGTTAGCCCCTTTCAAATTATTTACAAGAGAATAAACTGCTGTTTGTTTTGTTTATGGAGAATCCCTGATGTATTGCTTGAAAAGTGAAAGTGAAGTCGTTCAGTCGTGTCCGACTCTTTGCAACCCTGTGGACTGTAGCCCGCCAGGCTCCTCCATCCATGGGATTTCCCAGGCAAGAACAATGGAGCGGGTTGCCATTTCCTTCTCCAGGGGATCTTCCCAAACCAGGTCTCCCGCACAGCAGGCAGACGCTTTTCCATCTGAGCCACCAGGGACGCCACATGGCCTTGTATTGCTCGGTCCTGTGCAAAAAAGTCTTTAAGTTACTCAGTCATCTTTCAGCTTTGTCTAAGTCATTATTATTCTCATTTTTTTTAAGACCACAAACTGTAGAAATTGATAGGTCATACAGTCAGGCCTGAAACTCACATCTGTCTGACTACAAACTTGTTTTTCATTTCCCCAAACTGAAAATATTCTCTTGCAAGAAAATAATCATTTTTCAATATGCAGGAGAAGTAGTGGTTATATTTGGGGATTATGCATTTAGCTCATTAATTACCTGACAGAGTCCCTAGTATTTCAGTCCTGATAGTCATTTCTGCTTCAGCATTCCTGGGTCTCTGCTCTTGGTGGAAATAAATGGAATTGTCAGGACACTGTCATTAGGAAAATATCCTAGAAATGGACATTAGGACTTTTCTCCAGTCTTCATGGAGTTGTGTCATGGTTGGTTTTATGGTTAACCAAACTCAGAACACATCTGAATTTGTGAAGACTAATGTTGAAATGAAGATATGTAAAATCTTACTGTCTGAAAGAATAATTAGTCATTATAATGAGAGCCATTTTTGAGTGCCTTTTGGGGTCCTGGCAGTGGCAAAGCATTTTACTAACCATGATCTCATTTAATTCTCAACAGCAACACATATACAGCGTAGGCCTTGATATATATATTTTGTAGACCAGATAACTGAGGATCAGAGAGGTCTATTAACCACCATTAGGTCACTCAGTTTACAGTGGATCTAATAACAACAGCAATAATTAAATGGAACTAAACTCTAGTATGTCAGATTCCAATGTATA